CTCCAAACCCCTTCACCCCCACCTCTCCTCACCTCCCCCCACAACCACCACCTTTCTCTCCCCCATGCACTTCACCCTACTCACCCACCTATCCCTCATCCACAAACACCAACCCATCATCTCCCCTCCCTCTTCCTACCATTCTTCTTACTCTAGGATAGAGTGTAATTCAGGTCAGTCTCTTCTTCCTTTGTTTTTCATGCCTTTGTTCATTCATTATGATTTTACAAGGAGGATGGGCTTGCAATGTTGGTGTTTTGTTGTGTTGATGGTTTGTTGATACTAGCTCTATGCTAGAGCTTCGTTGCTTGTAAAATTTTTTTGGGTTTGCTCCTCCATCCCACTCCCTTTCACCTTCTCCTTTTTGTGGTGCACGCCAGGTGCTCGCTGAAAGTCCTCAACCAAGTCCACCTCTCTAAATGTCTCGTGCCGGTCCTTCTCGACCTCCTAGACCTTTTTCGGGTGCCCGTGCTGTCACTCGTGAGCGACCACGTGATCCTTGGGATCGCAAACAACTCAACTACGAACTCTCATTTCCGCTCATGGATGCCTTTGACATTCTACCCACAACTTCGTGGGCTGTAGCCAAATTGACTAACCGGCGTCTGCAGCACATTTGCGCACCCCTTGCCAGGGTTGCCTACCCCCGTGTAGTGCGCCTCTTCTACCAGAATCTCCAATGCCCTGAAGAGCCACCCATTTCTCTCACTACATCCATTGATGGCACCACCTATGCTTTCACTATGACTGACATCATTCAGGTTTCTGGTTGCCCCATTGAGTGCCCCGATGACATTGTCAATCGTGAAAATCTCCCTTTATATGAGGAGCCGGATACATTAACTGTGAAGCAGATTGCCGCTGCCCTTTGCCCTGTTGACGATCCTACCAGGCCCCGGTCTTTTATCCGCAAAACCAATCTTCCGGAACGCCTGTGGTTCATTAACACTATCTTCAAGCACAATGTCTACCCTTTGGTGCATAGCACCGAGCGTCGGGGCCTCCTTTTGCAAACCTTATATGCCATGGACCATGGCCAATGGTTCTCCATCCCAGAGCTCATTTGGACCAAATTTATGAAGTTTTGGCATGATGCTCATAATGCACGGGTTCCGCGAGTTGAAAATCGGAAATTGCCTTTGCCGTTTTTCATCACTCGGCTCCTTCAGCACAAGGGTTTCATTGTTCCTCCCCATGAACCAAAAGGCGAAAAGATTAAAATTTTTACCCAGCGCCGGTGGATCAATGTTCTTAGCCATTCTAGTACCCCTCAGCCTGCTGCCCCCCTGTTCATCCACGCTCCACCTCCTCCTCCTTCTGAGGATGCTTCCACCGCCGCAGCCGCTGCAAGGGTAGAGCCTCCGGTCGACTCTCACCAGGACCAGGCTTTCATCCGGGCTAGCTTTGCCGGTATTCATGAGCGACTAGATCGTTTTGAGAATTCTTTGTCCGCGTACACTCGGACTCTGTGTGAGACTTCTTCACGTGCTGAAGAAGATCATCGTCTTGCTGCTGAAGACCGCCGTGTCGCCACTGAGGAACGTCGTTTGGCCTCCTCTGAACGGCGTAAGACTCAATCTCTCCTCCATTCCATCCTCGCCCGTTTACCCTCTGGACCGTAGCTTGTTGCGAGTGTTGGACCTTATCTTTTTGTTTCATATGTACCTATTTCTCTTGTATCTTTTGTTTTCCTTTTGACCTGTCAGAATTTGCTATGTATAGGTTGCTCTAGTAGACATGATCCCTGTACAGCTCTTTTTTTTTGTAATCATGTAAACTCTTTTTGCAATGTAAATTCTTTCTGTTCTGTTAACTTTCGGTACATTCTTTTTCTGTATTTATGCTTGTGCTATTAATGCTGTTTGTGGTTGTTTCTTTTTGTTCTTCATGTTGCTCTCCAGGTTGCGCAGTCCAATTCAAGTTTGGGGGTTTTTGTCTCAAGATGCCGTTTCTTCCCCCTGGGTATTGTCGTTCCTTTTTATACTCGTTGTCTTTTTTTTTTTTTTTTTTTGTCTCTAACTTACATCCATGTCCCACATTGAGGACACTGTGTAGTTTAAGTTTGGGGGTGCATCAAAGCATTCTTGGCATAGTTTCGGTATCATATTTTTGTTAAGCAATGATAGTGTAACTTGGAACTTGTCAGAGACAAAGCATATGTTTAATACCTTGTGTATAAAAGCAATTGAGAAATTTTTGAAAATAAAGAAATTTGAATTTGATGTGATCATGCAAATACAATGTAGTCTGTATAAATGCCTCAATTAGATTCTTGCTGGATTTACACTCTTATAAGCTTCACAATGCACAGATGCACATTGGAAACTTAACTGTGAGGCATGCAACTTGATTGACCTTGACCTTGGCCTAGTTAATCTGATTTGATGAACCTGATAGATGAATACCTTTGGCATGTATCTAATGAAAAAAAAAAAAAAAATGACTAGTTGACGTTCGTAGCCTTTCCAACTCGAGCTATTAAGCCCTAGGAGTGTCTCTACACTTAGCACCCTAAAGCCGTCTGGTTTGGGAGTTGTTGGCCTAACGCTTGCTACAAGGGTTGGTTAGAAAGCTTAAGGGACTTAAACATTGCACGGTCAATCAAAAAAAATTGTAATAAACATGGTTCGTTGGAGTTCGTAGCCTTTCCAACTTGAGCTATTAAGCCCTAGGAGTGTCTCTACACTTAACACCCTAAAGCCATCTGGTTTGGGAGCTGTTGGCCTAACGCTTGCTACAAGGGTTGGTTAGAAAGCTTAAGGGACTTCAGCATTGCACAACCATCTTATGTTTCACTTCTGAGTTACAATAAATTGTCAACAAGCAACAAAAGTTGTCTTGTAAATAAAATCATGCCTTAGGGACCTCATTTAAAGGGGAATTCAATGATTTGAAAACTTGTGCTTTGGAATTGGAAAAGAAAGTAAAAGCCGCATGTTGAGAATCCAATTCACTTTCACTGGAGTTTGAGTTATTTCCATTTAAGAGATGACAATTGAATTATTTATATGGACTATGATGTTGATGCATGCATGTTGAAATGTTTTTTCCCAATTTTTGTATCAATGCTTCATATATTCAAGGTAGTCGTCCCAATGATCCCGTCTCCAGCTCCTTATCTGTTTCAAGTTGTATTTGAGCTATGTTTATGTTTATCTTTGCCATGGTGAATATTTTTGTAATTGTATTCCCATGTTTTCATTCCATTGAGCTTTGCATTTTGGTTTTGCTAAGGGACTAGCAAAATGTAAGTTTGGGGGTGTGATAAGCGCTGAATACTGTATATTCAAGCGCCCTAAATTACATTAACAAAGTCCAGTTATTAATTATTTTTTGTAGATTAACTCCATTTGCATGTTTTTATGCATTTTCAGGTTAAAGTGCAAAAAGGAAGCAAAAATGATGCCTTGTGGAATTTTGAACAAAAAGGATGCCATTTCTGAATTTCTGGCAGCAGTGATCCTAACTTTTGTCGCCATTTTCGACCTAGTAAACTCAAGAACTGGACTTCCATCATAACATGAAAGATTTAGATCTCTGAATCAGCTTTCCAAATCTTCAAGCGGTTCATCATTCGGAGTTCGGAGCAGAGAGTTATGATCTTCGTAACAGAGGTGCACAGAACTGCCTGGCAGCACTGAAGTACTGCCTTTCTCCCCATTTTCGACCAACCAGACTTGAGAATTGGGTCTTCATCAAAACATGAAGTTTTTAAATCACTGAATCAGCTCTCCAAAGCTTCAAACATATCATCATTCGGAGTTCAGGGTACAAAGTTATAGCAGTTTTACCAAAGTAGGTCAGCGCTGAGCAAGAAGAGCATGTTGCACATTGCACTAATTTAGAGTGCTCGAGACCACTTTTCGAGTGCTCGAAAATCAGGCAGATTGCACTCAGAAATGGCTCAATTTTAGCCACTTGCACATTGGTTTCCTCAATGCCATCTTCCTTCTTTATGAAGTGGTTGGAGGTGTTCCTTGGAGGAGAGAGAGGGTTTTGTTGGAGAATAAAAAGCTACCAAAGGCCACACACTTCCTATCCCACATTTTCTACAAGATTAGAGGAGAGAGAATAGAGCAAGAAAGAGAGTTCTCCAAGCTTGAAGAAGGGAGCACGAAAATGGAGGAGGTCTTCAAGCTTCTTCTTCATTCTAAGGCTCCAATGGGTAACTAACTCTTCTTCTAGGGAGGTGATGAAGTCCCTCCCTTGTAAGCATGTTCTAGTGTAGATTTTATTTTGGGATTTCAATGTATAACCTATGGTCTTTTCATGGTCTAGAGCATTTTGCTTCTTGTAATGGATCTTCATGTATTTTAATGATTATTGTTGAATTAATTATCTATCTTAGATGGTTTATTCTTTTAATCATAGTGCTTGCACTCTCATGGTGACAATGGTAGTGAGATCATGGAATAGTTTTAATGGCATGAAGTTGGAGAAATTTGATAGTCCATTGCTTAGGTTCCCCCTTTGATGGTCTATTCTTGATTCCTAACTTTATGTGCTTTTATCATTCAATTAAGGGCTTGATAATCTTTGGCTTAGGGAGCATGTTGAAGACTGCACCCTAGTTTATGTAGTTTAAGCATGTATTTCTTTGATGGATTATTCTTGTTTTTGATTCAATGAACCTCTTAAGGATATTATAGCAACCAAGGGTTGTTATGTATCATGACCATCGTTTATGTTGATTTCCCGAATTTAAATTTAGCCTAGCATGTGTATAGGGATGGAGACGGATTCACTTCCTTAGTTTTTCTTACTCGTATCTTATCTCGCTTCAATTATTGCAAGTTTCTATTTCATGCACTTCACATATTCAATTTAGTGACAAACAAACAACTCCTTATTTCCCCTTCATCATTCTAAGAACGATTCTAGACATTTAGGTTGCCTTAGACTAGCACAGTCCCAGTGGTTCGACTTACCCGACCAATAGCACTATTTTACAATGATTCGTGCTATTGCGAAGGTTGATGTATGATTGACCAACCGATCAGGGACCTCAACAGCAAGTGGCTCTCAATCAATTGAAGTGCTACACAGCTGAACCTTTATTTCTGTCTACTCCAAAGCCTGGTGAGACTCTCATTATGTACTTAGCAATCTCCAGCATAGCCACAAGTGCCGTACTGATCAGAGAAGAAGGGAAGAATCAGCATCCGGTCTTCTATGCTAGTAAGACAATGACAGATGCTAAGACATTGTACAGCAAAATAGAGAAGATCATACTAGCATTGGTATATGCAAAGAGAAAGCTTCGACACTATTTTGAGTCACATAGCATCGTAGTTCTAACAAACTATCCTATGCGAGTTATTCTTTCTAAGCCAGACTTGTCCGGAAGAATAACTAAGTAGGCAATTGAACTCAGTTCCTTTGATATATCTTATAAGCCAAAGGTATCACACAAAGGATAGGCATTGGCTGACTTCCTCCTTGAGTATGAAAATAAGCCCGAAGAGCCAGACCCTCCTGAACCACAATGGGAGCTTTAGGTAGACGGCTCCTCGAACCTAACTAGTGCAGGGGCTGGAGTCGTCATCATAACCTCTAAAGGCACCAAGCTGCAGCAATCAATCTGTCTAACTTTTCTTGCTACTAACAACGAAGCCGAGTATAAGGCCTTGCTCGCTGGGCTTCGGTTGGCAAACCAGCTCCAGGTAAGGTGTCTAAAGGTTTTTAGTGACTCCCAACTTATTATGAATTAGGTGACAGACAAATATCAGCCCAAAGAAAAAAGAATGAAAGCATACAAAGAGGTTGTGGAGAGTGCTACATGAGGATTCGATCAAATCAAATTCCACCAAGTACCTCGTGATGAGAATTCTGAAGCAGATCAGTTGGCTGCCGCAGCATCTTCTTCAGACGAAGATTTGGTTTGGATAATATCAATTGACATCTTGGACGAACCTAACATAAACCCTCGGCAGGAGGTAATGGTGATCCCAGATATTCCACGAGAACTATGCTGGATGGATCAACTGGAAGCTTACCTCAAGCATGGAACTCTTCCGAACCAAAAAGCCAAGGCACGAAAACTCAGGCTCACCACAGTCAAATATTCTATCATCAATAATCAATTGTTTCGGAAGTCATTCTTAGGTCCCTACCTGAAGTGTTTAAGCCCCACTGAAACCCTCGTGATTCTGAAGCAGATTCATGACAGGGATTATGGCAACCACTCCGGCGGCAGATCCTTAGCACATAAGGTCCTAACCCAAGGTTATTTCTAACCATATCTGGCTCGAAATGCTGAAGAGTATGCCAGGAGATGCGATAAATATCAGCGACATGGTCCAATAAAACATCAGCCTGCTAAAGATTTGCACGCAATAGCAAACCCATGGCCATTCGCACAATGGGGGATTGATATGGTCAGGCCTTTACCCAAAACTGTGGAGCAAAAGGAATACGTGTTGTTAGCCATGGATTACTTCACAAAATGGGTGGAGGAAGAGGCTTATTCATGTGTGACCCATGAGCAAGTAAAAAGTTTTCTGTGGAACAACATAATCTACCGATTTAGAGTGCCGAAGGTTATCATGATGGATAATGGTCCCAACTTGGACAACAAAAGCACAAGAAAATTCTTCGCCGAGCATGAGATCAGGCAGAATTTGGCCATAGTTAGCCATCCGCAAGGAATGGGTAGGCTGAAATAACTAACCGAACCATTTTTAGCTGCCTGAAGAAAAAACTGAAGAAGCTCAAATCAAAGTGGTATGAGAATCTACCTCAAGTACTTTGGGCATATCGAACCACCCCATGAAGGCCGATGGGGGAAAGCCTCTTTGCCATGGTTTATGGGTCTGAAGTTGTAATCCCCACGGAGTTAGCAGTGCCTAAGCTTCGGACACATGTATTGCTCGAAAGAAATAATGATCAACAACTCGAGAATAGCCTCTACCTCTTAGAAAAAAAGAGGGAGGCTGCAGCAATTAGGCTCGTTTCATACCAACAACAGTTGCGTAACAGTTATAACCAGTGAGTCAGGTTCAGAAGCTTTGTGGAAGGTTATTAGGTGCTGAAGCAAGAAACAGCCCACGTGAAAAAGTTACAACCCAATTGGACCGGACCCTACAGAGTCATAGAAGTGGTAAGGAAAGGAGCCTATCGATTAGCTGAAGCTGATGGGTGTCCAATCGCGCATCCATGGAATGCAATACACCTCAAAATGTATTATCATTAGACGATATAGTTCGCTTGTTTTTCTTTTTCAATTAGACAATATATTTGTTTTTTTCTACAAATACGGCTGTTTATGGCCCATATAATAAATTCTCATATTGTTGAGTACGTCCTCTCTCTTTTAAGTATGTGTTGCTTTCCGTAGTCAATGACGTGCGATCAGCAGTCCCGTGAACTCCATAATCATTAAATTCGGTGCGGGATGCCATTCACTTCATGTTTTTATAATTTTTCTTTCTTTTCGTAAAAGGGGGCAAGACTAGAGCCCACTAGTACCCTACTATGAATTGATGTTACGACAAGGAAAGCAAAAACAAAACACACAGCAAATGAGAAGATACAAATAGGCACAAAGTCAACGATTGTTTATGGAAACTATCTAGTGTTCGTTTGTGGAAACTATCTTCAATTGGACATAACAGCTGTTCATATTTTTTAAACAAAAAAAAAAAAAAAAAAAAAAAAAAAAAAAAAAAAAACTACTTTGAGTCTTTACATAGCAACTTACTTTTGTTGTCCTACACCGATAAAAAATACCTTTATACATCCCTTTATATAGAAAAATATTAAACTATTTGAGTGCATTGCAAAGAGGGCCTGTTGGTAACAGAAACGGCCCAGCCCAAATGGTGTTCAAAGCCTTGATACCAATGGGCATTCTTTGCAATAATTCTTTTTAAAGCCCAACTTCCTGGCCTACAGTGTAAACTCTATTTTTGTCCCACATCGACTAGAAATACAAAGGGTGTATAATTTATATAGTTATGGAGAACCACATCTGATCGCCACGAAGAGAATCTCTATGAAAGATAGTCTCCCAAGCAAACGCATGGGAGACTTCCCAGTGACAGTTACTCTTTTTTGTGGCCTTATAGCACTTTTGAATCTTCGGTTTGCCTTGCATGCGTGGTGTCTTTTCCTCTCAGGCTCACAGCCAAAGCATACATGCCTCGGACCTCAAGAGTCCGGTACAATATAGTTCCTCTTGGGCTCATAGCCGAGGAACCACATGCCTTGGACCTCAAGAGTCTGGTACAATACAGTTCCTCTCGGGCTTATAGCCGAGGAATCACATGCCTCAGAACTCTAGAGTCCGGTACAATACAGTTCCTCTCGGGCTCATAGTCGAGGAACCACATGCCTCGGACCTCAAGAGTCCGGTACAATACAGTTCCTCTCGGGCTCATAGCCGAGGAACCACACGCCTCAGACCTCAAGAGTTCAGTACAATACAGTTCCTCTTTGGCTCATAGCCGAGGAACCACATGCCTCAAACCTCAAGAGTCCGGTACAATACAGTTCCTCTCTGGCTCATAGCCGAGGAACCACATGCCTCGAACCTCAAGAGTCCGGTACAATATAGTTCCTCTCTGGCTCATAGCCGAGGAATCACATGCCTCAGACCTCAAGAGTCCGGTATAATATAGTTCCTCTCAGGCTCATAACCGAGGAATATATTACCTCGGACCTCAAGAGTTCGGCATAATACAATTCCTCTCAGGCTTATAGTCGAGGATATATCGCCTCGGACCTTAAGGGTCCAACACAATACAATTCCTCTTAGGCTCGTAGCCAAGGAATATACTGCCTCGAACGATTCAAGTCCGAGGCTACATCAGTATGGTTTAAGCCCAAGTGGGGGCAAAAATTGCATTGTGGCTGCCACACCTACAGTCCCTTATATTTGGCCCAATAGCGTACAACCCTTGAAAAGTTTTATCCTACATTGAAAGCAAATAGAAAATACGAGTGCAATATATAATGCAATCCCATACTCATTGATCACCAAGAAAGGTGCCCCTTGATAAATAGATCTTCAAGCGAAAGTCAGAGATCAACATATCAAAGGACTCTTTTTCTTAAGCCAATTCTTTTCAAAATCCTCGGATCACAATGATATGAGTGCTGCATTGAAAGGTTGGTATTTTAAAGCCCTCAACACATTCCTCTAAGACAAGGAATTTCACACCTCAGACACAAAGAATCTGAGCACAAGAAACTGGGATAAAACCCAAATGAATTAGCAAGAACCTAAGTAGAGGTTTTGTATTCTTTGACATTTATCCCTAGAATCAGTAAGTCCAATTAAGACATTTACTAAGTCAAGTAAGTAGTTTGTCCCACATAGAAATAATACACAAAAAAGCAAGTATTGATATACATATTCCACCCAAGTTCAAAGCAAGAAGGGTTCTGATCGGTTGGTCAATTAACATCAACCTTCGCAATAGCACGAATCATTGTAAAATAGGGCTATTGGTCGGGTAAGTCGAACCACAGGGACTACGCTAGTCTAATACAACCTAAATGTCTAGAATCATTCTTAGAATGATGAAGGGTGTATAGAGGTTTTGTTGGATGTCACTTAAGCTAGGAAATTAAAAGTGCATAAAACAATAAATTGCAAGAATTCAAGGGAGTGAAGTACAAGTAAAGAAGGCTAGGGAAATGAATCCACCTCCATCCCTATACACATGCTAGGTTAATATTAATTTAAGGGGAAAACAACATATATGATAGTCATGATACATAACAATACTAGGTTGCTATAATATCCTTAAGAAGTTCATTTAATTAGAAAGCCAAGAATAAACCATCAAAGGTTCACATGATCAACTACCTAAACTAAAATGTAGCTTAGAACATGCTTACTAAGCCAAGGATTATCAAGCCCTAATTTAAATGGTGAATGCACATAAAGCTAAGAATCAAGTATAGCCCATCAAAGGGAAACCCTAAGCCATGAACTATCTAGGTTCTCCAACTCCATGCCATTAAAACCATTCCATGATCTAACTTCCATTGTCACCATGGAAGTGCAAGCAATATGATTAAGAAAAGCAACCATCCAAGACAAGATGAATAACTCACAATAATCATTTAAAACATTCAACATTCATTACAACAAAAATGAGGCTCTTGACCATGGAAAGACTATCAAAAATACATTATAATCCCCAAAAATAAACTATACTAACACATGCTTACAAGGGAGGGGTTTCATCACCTCCCTAGATGAGGTTTAGTTACCCATTGGTGAGCTAGAAGAAGGAAGAAGCATCATCCTCATCTCCATTTTCGAGCTCCTACTGTAGCACTCAAGAACACCCTTCTCCTTGCTCTCTTCTCTCCTTTCTCTTGCTAAAGATAAAGCTTTTTTATATATGTGGCCTTTGGGTAGCCTTTTATGCTCCAACAATACCCTCTCTCCTCCAAGGAACACCTCCAACCACTTCATAAAGAAGGAAGATGGCATTGAGGAAACCAATGTGCAAATGGGCTGCAATGAGCCATTTCCGAAGGGCATTCTGCCTGATTTTCGAGCACACGCTTGGTGACCTCGAGCACTCTAACTTAGTGCAATGTGCAACATGCTCCTCTTGCTCAGTGCTGACCTATTTTGGGAAAACTGCTATAACTTTGTGCCCCGAACTCCGAATGACGATCTGTTGAAGATTTGGAGAGCTGATTCAGTGATTTAAAAACTTCATGTTTTAATGAAGACCCAATTCTCAAGTCTGGTTGGTCGAAAATGGGGAGAAAGGCAGTACATCAGTGCTGCTAGGCAGTTCTGCGCACCTCTGTTGTGAAGATCATAACTCTCTGCTCCGAACTCCGAATGATGAACCACTTGAAGATTTGGAAAGCTGATTCAGAGCTCTAAATCTTTCATGTTATGAGGGAAGTCCATTGCTCGAGTTTGGAAGGTCAAAATGGCAAGCAAATTCCAGGCTCTACTGCTGCCAGAATTCAGCATTGGCACCTTTTGTTGCTCAAGATTCCACAAGGCCTTATTCTTGTTCCATTTTGGCCAATGAACCTGAAAATGCATAAAAACATAGAAATGGAGTTAATCTACATAAAATAATTAATAACTGGACTTTGTTAATGTAATTTAGGGCGCTTGAATATACATTATTCGGCGCTTATCACACCCCCAAACTTACATTTTGCTAGTCCCTTAGCAAAACTACAATGAAAAACATAAAGAAAAGACAACCATGGGCATGCTACTACAAAAATATCCTCCATGGTAAAATGAGATAGAAACATAGCTCAAATACAACTTGAAACAGACAAAAACTGGAGATGGGGTCATTGGGAAAACTACCTTGCATATATGGAGCATTGATACAAAAAATGGGAAAAAAAAAAAAAAAAAAAAAAAACATTTCAACATGCATGCATCAACATCATAGTCCATATAAATAATTCAATTGTCATCTCTTAAATGGAAATAACTCAAACTCCAGTGAAAGTGAATTGGATTCTCACATGCGGCTTTTACTTTTTTTTTGTCCAATTCCAAGGCACAAGTTTTCAAATCAATGAATTCCCTTTTACATGAAGTCCCTAAGGCATGATTTTATTTTCAAGACAACTTTTGTTGCTTGTTAACAATTTATTTCAACACATAAGCGAAACATAGAATGGTTGTGCAATGCTGAAGTCCATTAAGCTTTCTAACCAACTT